TCAGGAAAGTATTTAGAAAAAACCTGAGTTGCAGAATCTAACATTTCAGAATCATACATTCTCCTACTATAGATGTAACAAAGTTTAATTTGGCCGTCAGTCATATTTTAGTACTGGAAAATAATAATTGTTCAAAGGTAATACACAATTACTAAGAATTTGAAGGGAAATGAATTTTTTATTATTGTTGCTCATAGTTTCTTTAACAGCTTGGAGGGGCATCTTTCTTCGCATCTATATGTCTTCACAAGCAGTACAAAAAAGGCACATAATTCATCCCTTTTGCCTTTAGAAAAGATGCTGGAAAGCAGTTTCTTAAACAGAATGGGAAGAAAAAAGATGGAACTTAAGTCCTGTGGAATCTAGATGTTTGGGACACTTATGTTCCGCCGAATTATGATTTCTGTATTTGAATGAGGTGCATCTAAGAATTCTGGAGGGTGTTATAATTAGAGAATTTTAAAACAGACTATAAATTTGCACTTGACAATCATGGACATAAATATGCTTGTCCCTCAATACTACAAAAGCAAATGTAATAATATGACATAAAGAAATAAAAAGAGGTCTCTAACTGAAGCTAAAGAGGGCTTGCTTTGGCGTTCACAGTGTAGCCCTATTAGGGTATGTTTTAAAACATGTAGAGCCCTCATACCTTGAGAGGCTCATACTCACCCTGTCCCCTGTGGTTCCTTTAATACTGTGCAACATGACAATCTGAGGAAGCAGCAGTTCTGTGCCTAAATAGCCTCTCCAACTGAGCCTAATGTTGCTGGTCTTTTGTTTGCAATCTTACATCCTGTCTGTGGTTTATGAGACTGGGTGGGATGTACTTTTCTAGGCTGGGGTGATTGACTGTCTATCCAGCACTAATTGTTCCTTCCAGACATTGATTTCAAAGAACCTCTGTTCTGAGTGCTTTTTTTGTCTTTTCGTCCATTGGTGGCAGTTGTTTGCTGTTGATCTGTTCAGTTGATTGCTAAGTATGTGTGCTATAAAGAAAGCAGCATAAACAAACATGTAATTTCAAGCAACTGTAAATAAGTACTTTTTATTGTTTCTCCTACAATGTCTCAGAATAAGTTATTGAGACTTTAAGTGCCAATTAATGAGAAAAGAATAGACTCTGTGGAACTTGTAGCTATTTTCCTCTGTGGATCTCTGTGCTTCTACTGCATAGCAAAAGGATAAATTTACCAGAAATTCAAAACTCTGGAACAGATGTTGGGGGTGATTGGTTCACATAGAGTCTACTTGGGTGTAGAAGCCTCTTCTCTTCATACTGTTGTTTCCATATTTTATTAGATGACAGGGGAAATAGGGCAAATGCAACCTTTTACCTCACACATTTTAAGCCACAATAGGGTTATAGGGGGCATGCAAAATATAAGAGACTGTGTCATTAATGGGATTTCAGGGTAATAAATATTCTGAAGTGGTTTACCACTGCCTTGAGTTTGGAAGAGTTGAACAGAGCTGTTAACAATAGGACATTTTAGAGGTTGCTCATTCATAATATCTCTATAAGTTGGAGGTGACATGACACCACATAACAACACAACAACATATTTTGTCATCTTTTTATTTTTAATGGAGGATGCACTCAGAAAAATCTTGTCATAAAAAAAAAACATATACACTTGAAACGGAGTGTAGAAGTGGCCCCGTAAGCTTTACTCCATAGTAATGGAGAGTGGAGAGAATAACCAAGGATACCATCAGTTCATAAATAGAAAGGTTTAAAGAGGGAAAATGTTTAACTGGAATGTTATAATCTGTTTTTCTTCTACTACTGGCAAAAAGACCACTGTACAACTCTTCTGCAGAATTAAGAGACAGGACAGGGAAGAGGAAATGTTGAGAGTTATTTGAGAGTTACTATTTTGTTTCCCCAAAAAATAAGACAAGGTCTTATATTAATTTTTGCTCCAAAATGCATTAGGGCTTATTTTCATGGGATGTTTTATACTTTTCATGTACAACTATCTACATTGATTCAAATACAGTCATGTTATCTTCCTCTGGTTGCTGCACAATGGTGGAGGTTTCACTTAACTGGGGCTTATTTTTGGGGTAGGGTTTATATTACGAGCATCCTGAAAAATCATACTAGGGCTTATTTTAAGGTTAAGTCTTCTTTTTAGGGAAACGGGGTAACACTGAATTTCAGGTCCTGACATAACAAAAATGGATGTGTCTAATTTTTTAACACATCACGCACCTATCAATAGGAAGGAAAGGATTGTGCAAATGTCACCAGACCAAAATTTTGCAATAGATTTCACAGGAACAAAATCAGATTCTTGGGGAGAGGGCACCAATAGTTTGCAAAAAAAAATTGTCCTGTGACTGTCCCTATTTCATCTTGCTTTGATGGACCTTCTTTTTCATAAAGGGTTTTGAGTCCATGTTCCTATCTTCTTTTTTGTTTTCTGTACCTGATTACTCAATTTCGCATGCCCATTTTATTATTTTTGGTCTCTCTCATTCGCATACATGGATTTTGACTTTGTGCAAATCCTTGTCCAGAATACTGTAGAGCTGAATAGCTTTTGGCTGAACCTCTCTTCAACCACGTGCTTCCTTTTCATCCAACCCACCAGTCTGAAGAAAATTATTGTTGAAATATAACTCAGCTCTTCATGCACAGTTATTAATTCCATGCAGGAAATGATTATCATGTGTGAAAACTGCAAAATTAGTTTTGGAGGTTATTTCAGGATGTTTTTCCATCATGCAGTCCCCAAATAATCTTGCAAAACTAGTTTTCCCATCCATCGGTAGCGCTGAAATATTTCATATAGTATTTTAATGTATCCACAACATGTTTAGGGCATTCTGGAAAATATCAGCCCCCTGTAACTCTTTTTTTTTTTCAGTTGCATGCCTTTAGGAAGAACTTTTAGAGCAAAAACCCCCATGTCAATGACATTGCAGCAAAACCTGGAACACAGCCATGCTGACGAAAGTGAAGACAGCACTCTAGGATCTTTTATTTAAAAAGGGCGAGGGAGTAAAATATCCTGTGGTTCTGTACTTTCTCATTCCAGCTTCTCTGACATCAACGTTAAATCAGGTTTAGGCAAGTGCCAAGGTATCAGTGCATGTTGTACCCCGAATTCCCAATTCTGCAACCTATTGCATGCGGTTCTGTGTTATAAGGATGTCAGTTAAGCTAAATGGCTGAACTTGTCCCTTTTGCTGGCAGGTTTTTTTGTTGGCACAGTCGTACATTGTCTTGACTCTCCTCCCAGTGTAGGTGACCTCTGGCTGTTAACCAACCTCCTAGGCAGATACTGCAAATATGCCTTTGGTAGAGCAGCCTTGGGCTTTCAGTTGCTGACAGCTGGTCAAAACGTGGCAAAGTGGATGTTAACCTATCATCTTTTGTACATTTTAGAACCCTCTGCTGAAGACAGTCAGACGGAAATTCTCTGCAAAGCAAGACAGATTATTTATGGCCTTATAGCATCTACTTGAAGAGGAAATATTATTTTTAGTCACCTTATTCCAGTTTGTATGTAAATAACATCACTAGTCCTAAGCTTGTTCACAGTTATGTAAGTGAATTAGTGTGTTTTACTCCACCCGAAGAGGGGATTACAAAACCATATTATTTTATTTCTTGTTACCAACTTCTCTACAAACATTGCTGGGAAAAGGATTGCCACAGAGTAGCTGCTAGAAATGCCCAGCCTCACTCTGTGGTTTGAACCAAAAGTCCAGTCGGCTTCTGAAAGGGAAAATCAAAACAAAATTGTGAAATGCCCCAATGTTGTTTTAAATTCCGCTTTTGGCTCCGTTGCAGCAGTTAATATCATTGCCAAACAAGTATATTTGGCAGAAGCCTGCAAAGCTTTCTAAGAGAAGGGCGAGAGGCAGGCAGGGCCTGTGGGCTGGTCTCCCTGAGGGGAACAGGGTCAGATTGCCCTCCGGCTCCTTCCAGGTAAATCCAGCCACCTCTGGGTTGACTCTGAATTAGGGCCTGGTTTCATGTATTCTCCATGGATCCTCTGTGTGATGGCTTCACACCACGGGCTTGTTAAAACTTCATTTCTTCTCCCCTCCCCTTGGCCAGATTAGCAGAGACTCGGCCTAATACTACTAACGGCTGCCCTTGCTGCTTTAAATAACTCTGCCTGAAGCTAGGCCCTCACAATACGAGTGGCCCTCAAGGTCCGGATTAGGAGTCACATGCCCTCAAAAGATGACTCCAGAATCGTTTGCATCTCTCTCTCCATGTATACATCTACCAAAACGAATCAGAATCCCTGCCTCCCCCCACCCGGTTTGAATATACCAATACAGTATTTAGTTATTTTGCAAGGAAGGCGGGGATTAAAGGAAGCGATCAAGATTTTGGATGAGCTTCTTGAAATCCGGTAGGTCGGAAAATGTGTAGCAACTTCACCGTGCATTTGCAGGAGGTAAAAAAGGAAGAATGCGCAGTTGTGTGCATTTACACCCTGCACCTCATATGAGGCTTGGTCAGGCCAAGTGGGTGCTTTTCTGATTTCTGTGAGAACCCTCAGTTCCCTTGGGCAGGGTGAGGGGATGGAAGGGAGAAGTAAATCCAGGCTGTCTAAGAATATATATGAATCGAGGGGAAATATTAATGGCAAGGGAGAAAACTTCACACAGTAAAAGTCCTCAAAGAAAATGAGAAATGTTTTGCTAAAAATAAAAAGAATTAAAAACCACTATAGAATATCAGCAGATAGGAATATAAGCAAGTAATACTGAGGTCTTATGAATTGTTCGGAAAGTTTTACACATTGTTCAGACAGTGGCATTTTGAGACAAGGAATAAACAGCCTCTATATTCCAAAGGCCGTGTTGAGAAATGTTGTGAAGAGTGATCCTTGTGAAGAAGGAGAGTGTGTTTCTGTACTACACATGTAAGTGGGCCAAATGTGAGAATATTGTACCATTTTTAAAAGGTCCAGGTGGAACATTCCATTTCCTTTTCCTTCAGCTTCTGTCCTGTGTGATTAAGAAAGATGTTCATGAGTTGTATGGATTTAACTTGTGCTCATTCAAATGAAGTTACAGACTACTGGCATTAAAGTTTTGGTGAATTTAGTGAAACTTTTGGACAGGAACATTCCAAGAGACAAGAAAAAACTAAGACTAGAGGAGAGTCCTAACCTTACATGGTAGGTGCACAGAAGATGTGGATATTTTATATGAAGTCAAATAGGAGCAAAATGCGATGGTGCATTTTAGCAAAGGCATTCAATTATATTTTAATGAATCCCATCTTTCTTTCTGTTGCTTCAGTAATACTGTATCACCTCATTTTACTGAACATGTGGCTGCCTTTCTGGTATTTGTGGATTATCAGCTGACTTGCATGAGGAGAAACAAAGGCCTGCTTGTAAAAGGTTGTAGGGGATAGCTAGCTTGTGGGTGTTCTAGGAGCTTGCTTGTTTGCTTGTATTTACTTAAAGCCTACAAAAATAAACCAGAACTTCAAAAGGCTATTCAGCTGCTACATACAGCTTAAGGTAAGCTTCTTGTCTGCTTGCTTGCAATGAAAAACTAAGCAAGATACTTTACCATTGCTACGCTTTAATTGTGCTATTCAAATAGTGGAGCATCCCATATGCAGTGTATAGTTAAACATGTTATATTGTCCAGAAGCGACAAAATCTGAAAAATGAGCTCCATACCAACAATTCTATACGGAAAATCTGGAAGCAGTTTCTGTTATCAGCAAAGGAAGCTACATTCAACATTTTTATCACAAGCATAAAATAAATTATGCAAATTTATATAGGTTGTTGAAGAAACATTTGGGTTTTTTGTTATTTTAGTAATTTAATCTCAATTTGCTTCTGAAGCATATAGTTTAGTCATCACCTGCAGTAGTACTGGCAATAGTTTATTTTAGACAGTGCTATCTGTGTAAAATCAGATATTCTGTCCTATTTACTGTAAAATCTTAAAGAGGAAGAAGATGAAGTAGTATTTAGATTCATTATACACAGAAAACTGTGAATATAAAAAGGTTTCACATATGGATCATATCAATTCACTCCGTCTTGCAGTAGATGTGTAATTCTTACTATAAAAGTTTTTAAGATTATTGATCCCTTCTGTGTTTTACATCACTCAGTTGATTTTTCAGAGATCACTCTGTACACTGACTTTTCGTATCTCCCCAACCCAACTGTTATCGCACAGGGGGCAACCAGGTTAAAAGGCTATTTTATTTTTACCTTGGCTTTGTGCATGCAAAGTAACCTAAGGATGATAAGGAACAGGGGATAAATAATTCCATGTTTCTTTGACCTAGTACAGCGTGAGCAGTGATACACACAACCTTAAGCTCTTGGCTGATGCAAGCCATAGAAGCAACCACAGCATCTAGTAGAGTCTGTTCTATTATTGTACACTACCCTTCTCCATTTTAGGACTGTGACTAAGGGTGTGGCCACACTGGTACAAAATGCAGGAAATGCTATGGGATTGGATGTGCCGATCTACTTTTTCTCTCTCTCCCTGTTGACCACATGACATCAAAGCCAAAGTGAATCAGCCTGGAGTCCCATTCCCATCTGTAATTTTTACCTCCCCTGCTAGGACTTTTTTTTTTAACCACCGGATCGATTTCAGTCCATTCCACTAGTGTGATCATTTGAACCAATAAAGCAAACTGTGATTCTTGACACTTTGCCTTTCCCTTCCAGGCAGAATATGCAATCCCCCCCCCTTTTGTTGTTGTAGTAACAGCTTCATGCTAGCACTGTTGTGCTGGGGCATCTAAGTAGAAAAAGAAAATAAGAGACTGAGAGGAGTGATGTTGACAAGCTGCAAACAAGATACACTGAATTGTACTATCCAATCTGTTTCATTGCTGCTTAGTAAACTTATTCTATTTCTATTTGAATTCGTCAGAAGATTCCCCAGGGTTGAGTACAGAATTATGCTCCAAAGCCACACAAGCTAATTTTGGTCATTGATGGAAATAACACTGTCTTTATTCTGTTGTTAGGTGCAACAGCTGTGTTGGTAAAATATTGTTTTCTACTTCTAGAAGAGGGTGTTTGCAGTGAACTCTAGGACAAGGTATAGTTCTATATACTTTTATTTTTTTGATTGCTTTCATAATTATGTAGTGAAAGGATTTCGTTATGAGTTCTATTAAGTATATTCACAACTGTGCCTCAAAATATTTGTATATATCTATCACAGCAACAACTAAAACAATAGTAATAATAGTGTGCCATTACGTCCATTTCAACTTATAGTGGTCCTTTCCAGAGTTTTCAAGATAGTGAGTACTCAGAAGTAGTTTATCATTCTCTTCTTCTGTGGACACCCAGGGGCTGTGCATTTTGCCCATGTCTATGCAGGCTGGCTCTTTTCTTAAGGTGCCAGAAATCACAACTGGAACCAAAGAGACTGAAAACAGTTGCTGCGGGTGTGGAGGAGGAGGAGCCCTGTGTGGAGAGGGGCAGAGACACACACAAGCAGGTGCACCCTTAGAGGGATCTCTGCCTAGTATTTTGTTTTTTATTCTTTTACATCCATTTATAGCTTAACATGTAGTCCGGGCAGTGATTTAGATATCTCCTTGTGTTCTGAAAACAAAAGTAAAAATTATCTGGAAAGCAACTGTTGCTGCACCTTTAAAGCAACTAGTAAAAGTCTGAAAGATGGTTAAGGAATGATTGTCTGCTGGATGCTGGATGTATTTATCATTTGAACCTAAACAAATAAAACACATTTTTATCCGGTTAGCTTTCATTTTATAAATGTTGGTGTCTGCCAATTTTTGTTACGTCTATGTATTACAGCCTACTGTATATTTCCACATTCTAGGTTCAGATTTTGATTTTAGACTTTATTTGTGAAATATTCCTCTGTGGATCTGTGCATTTTAGTGGAATGTTAAAATAATAGGAATATTCTAACACACTTGGTATATACAGAATTTCAGTAAATAAAGAGTCCATACGAAAGCTTTCCAAATTAACACATCTAATTGTTTCATTAGGTACAAGATGGATGCTACTTGTGTGATGTGGGGACTAATTTGGCTGATCATACTCTTCTTTATTGGATGGCCCGTAAGCATTTTCTTAGGAGGACTGTATGGATTCTTCTCTCCTCTGACAACTTTGGTAGGCCTAGATGACGTCAGTGATATTCTACTGAGAGGAGTAAATGTGGGAAGGCAATGTGCTAAGAATGTGCACAATGGAAAGCCTCTCTTTTAATATAAAGGCCAGCCAGCTAGTATTCTTCTTTCTCCCATGATGAATTTTTGCAACTGAAAATGTTCCTGTTTCTATCGAAAAGTAATTCAGGGTTTAAAGGATATGCTTTATATTTGCATTCTATAAATAAGTAAATGTAGACACTGGAATCTGTTGTTCCTATTTATGTCACCTTTTCATAAGTTAATGTGCTAAAACCAGAGATATCTAAATTAGAGCCTCAGATTTCTGCCAGATCTGTGTTAGAATAGAATGTCAGATTCTTCAAACCTAAGCATTCTAGAATTTGGACATAGCTACATTTGCTGTGACCAAACCCCGCAAGTATGATTTTGCTCTTGTCTTGTATGTTAACTTACAATAAAGAAATTATTTGCTTATTGATGTTAATGCTTCATACCTGCATTCAGTTACTAATGTATAAATTTATAGTAAAACAGTCACTGTTTGTTACACTTAACTTTTCTCTGAATATTTTACAGTACATTATTTTTATGTTGGTTCTTTGGTATGTTAATTATAATAAGTATCACTTACGATATATAGATAATAAAACTACTTCAACTTACTATTTGTTCATACTGTCTTTTAAATTGGTGTTCTGGGTTATTAGGGACCAACATCTCCTTCATATCAGGAGTAACATTTTCATACTCGATGATCCATAGGGTCCCTTCCAGCTCTGCAGTTCTAAGATGATGATGATGATATTTCTCTTCTCCTATACACTACTTTCAATCTCTGCTCTGTTTATGTGTAAGAGATTGAGTGCTCATGGTGATTTCATTACATGTTGTAACATCCACACTAATAGAAGGGATCAGCACTGGAGGTAACTTCAAGATTTGCAGATGTATGTTGTGTCAAGTCATAACAACTTTCCTCTCCCCAACACAGTCTGCCCATGCATTGAAAAACCAACAGTACTCTATTTGCTACTATTTGCTTGCATTTCAAATAGGGCTCATGCAAGATTTCAGCACTAACAGTGAACCGTAGGCCTTTAGCTGTGGCCTCCAGCCACTATTTTAGAATGGAAATTACTGATTCTGGCTGCTAAAGCCTAAAGTGATGGTCAGGTATGTAGAGATTTTCACAAATGTATCTGCAGAGGCTGCAGTATTTGAGAGGAATACTTTTATCCTCAAGTGCTCCCAACTACCACAAGGCTGCAGTATTTGAGAGGAATACAGGCATGAGTGTAGGGGTATCTTCATTCCTCTTTGGTGATTTTCCTTTTATCCTCAAGTGCTCCCAACTACCACTGTCTCCCTACGAAAAAGACATACATGCTTATTCCAGTGTTCTGCTCCAGGATGTACTACTGCAGCTGCATTTGGTTTTTGAAACTAAAACAAACACAAATATGGCCCTTGTGTAGTTTAGTTCTTAACAAAATGCAGAGCTGTGTAATAATAATGATTCTTAGCCCAGAGCTGTAGACATTGTCTCCTAAGAGCTTCATGTAAATGTTAAACATGAGTGACATAACACAGCTCTGTGGAAGGCCACTTTGCATGTCTTACAAAGCAGGGTGTCCATCCCTACTTGTTACCTTCTAGCATCTGAATGAAAAGCAAAAACAGCTCAAGGCTGGGACTAGTGTATTATATGTGGTGGAGCAAAGGGTTATGATCCACAGTATCCAAAGTAACTTTCAGAACCATGCAAATTCTGCAGCATTTCTCCTGTCTGTCTTCAGAAGTAGATTGTTTACCAGGGCAAACTGATATGGTCTTGAGTTCCTATGCCTTGGTTATCTTGGCTGGAAGCCAAATTGGAAGGGATCCAGAAAGTTACCAAAGATGAAATCTAAGTGGACATCTTGCCCATGTCATATGCTCTCTGGACTATGAATGATTCAACTGGGCTCTTCTTCATTTTTGCCAGGCTTATTTTTAGAAGTTGTCTGTGGCCAAACACAATGCCTTTCTGCAATAAAGAGAAAATAATTGGTATGTTTATTCTCCATGTTTTTGATGCAATTTACTTTGTGGGCAAAATGTTCTTGAGAAGAATAACTCAGAGAAGATCAGTTGCTACTGTCAGCCATAGTTTGCATGTACGTATTTGTTACTTGGGCTGTTTGTTTACATTACCTTTTTCTGTGTGAGAGTTGATACCCAGCCTTGCTTTTTATCACACAATGAACAAATAATTGACCAAACAGAAGTAGCAATGGTGTGGTTTCTTCCCGTGTCAGCATCACATATTCTGGAAAACGGGACAAACATGGTTTGGGGAGAAGCCATTGGGTCTTCACATTTGGTCAGAACATCTCATTTACCTGAGGAGATGTGATTCCCTTGCTGTAAATATAACATAAGGAGAGTTTTCCTCCAACACACCCCAATGCAACCTGTTGCAACCCTGAAGTAAGTGCAGCAGTTCTACAACAATTTTACCTGAACTGAAAATTGCTTGAAACGGGTAAATATATATGTGTTTAGATTCCTTGTTCTGTCTTCTCCAGTTGTTATATACTGGTGCATCATAAACATAGTAAGATTTTAACAGCTCCTCTCATTGCAGTTTTTCACATCCAGGCATGCATGAAGATGGATAAATTCTAACTTTACTTGAAGAACCTGGAGAATTACAGTAAAGCAGCATTTACCAAACCAGCCATCATAGCCAGCTGACACACCTGCAGTACAAGCATATACATAACATAACTAATCAGAAGTAAGTACATGTTCAAAAGTGTATAAGAGAGTTAGGCCTGGGACCTGTTTGACTTTACACAACCTGCAGAAGGAGGTATCGAGGACTTTGTAAAAACGTAAGTTGGCTATTTTGTTCTAGCTGTCTCTTCACTCTCTCACTTAGATGAAACCTACATTCCATTAAACCACAGTTCTTTTTTGTTCACATTCTCTCAATCTCATACACAAGTAGATTCTTAATAAAACAAAATGCTTATCTGAAGAGACAAATTGGTTGAAATTATGTACTGTCAAGTCAGAACTGCCTCATAGGGACCTTAATAGGGCTTTCAAGGTAAGTAAGATATTTAAGGAGTTGTTTTACGAGTTCTACACCCCCAGTAAGTTTCCATGGCTAAGTGGGGGGATTTGAAGCCAGGCCTCCTGAGTCTTGGTCCATCACTCTATCCACTATATCACACCAAGGACAAATACACAGACACTGGCCAAAATTGTCTCACACAGATACACAAATGGTGTACCTTTTGGGAGCAAATTCCCCCAAGTTAAGAAATCACCTGTGAGGTGGTTGCTATGGCCAGTGCCCCAAATTTCTGATCTTGCCCGTGCCCCCTGGCAGACCTGCTGGGCAGGGAGGCCACTGGACCTCAGGTAGGTACTGGAATCAGTCAGACGACCCAGTAAGAGGAGACAGCTATGTGGGATAAATACCATCACCTGAACCAGGATCTGGTAAGAGTTACAAGCCCTCTCTGAAAGATGCCAGAAGTCATGGATCTGCATGAGGACTACTGGCAGCTCCACAGTTTCTATTCAAGCCATCCCCAGTGAAGACAACTGGAGACTGAGAAGAAACTAACTGTGAGGAGCCCAGTGAAGGGACGTGGACATCCAAAGAGAGGACTCAGGGGAAGGGGCTGTTGGTGAAGGAACCAGTTGTATAACTGCTGCCTCCCTTCCAACAGAATCAGAATTACCTCAACATTCCAGTCTGGAGCCCATGAATAGCCACCTGGGAGGGAGGTCATCCACCACCCATAATCTTGGAGTGGGCTACTGCACTTATTTAAGCATAAACATCAGTTACATGCTGAATCATATACTCAATATGCAACTCATGTGTACAGTAGTCTTGTAACAGATCGATTTGCTTCTGAATGTTACACTAGTTGTACTACGTCAGTGTAACCAGGTAAGAGGTTTTAGGCCACTAAAATACAACTAATGAACTTACAAAATAACTAGATGTATAGATATGCCATTATAAATTAACTAACTGAGAACAGGGTTGCAAGGAATTTATATTCTAGAAGCTCTTCTAGACACGGTATTTGTACTTACATTTGTGTCAAGTTCTACACTGATCTTTTGGGAGTTTTCTTCAATGTGTAAATGATGCTCATCTAATCTTGCTTCATACTGTTTTTCCTCCTAACGTTCGGAATCTCTGCCATCCTGCCAAGGTCCTTGGCATATCTGCAGCTCCATTTTATTCTGGGAGATGGAAGTTTCTTACCATCAGGCATTTTAGAATTTCAGCACAGGAAACTTCACTGAGCAATAATGGATGCTTGTTGGGCCCTTACAAGTGACAAAAGAGAGCAAGCCCAATGATGAAACAGAGAAGTGGTACAGCACTAGACCATCCATTGACTCCTGGCAAATCCCATGAGCTTCAACAGGCAACAGAAAAGGAAAAGTTGAGTTATAAATGCCTTGTCTGGAACAGCCTCAAGAGATCACAACCTCATCCTGCCCAAAAAGGGTGGTGAAAATCTGTTTCTCACAGAAATAAAAGGATATTTTTGCTGTGGAAATGTCCATTACGGAGAGTTTATTTACAAGTGAAAAGGAGATACAGACTTGTCCAAAAAGTGAAGGGCATTACAGAGTAAGCATTATCAGTGCAGCTGTTCTTTTTCAACATATAGCCACAATTAGGTGAAAGATGGATACAAGAAATTTAGTAGAAATTTAGATATTACAAAACTGGAATAATAGTAAATCTATCACATGACTTAAATCCCAGTTCATTTGAGGTGAGGCTAAAAGGTCAGCTTTGCAATGTTTGAAAGGATATAAAAAAGAGTGCAGGGACAAGTGGGAGAGATATATATTTTACAGGTTCAAGAGAGGAGAAGTTACGACATAGCCAGTAAAAATACCCAGCATAGTTTCTTCCACCTAGATCAGCTTACTGCAATGTTCCTAATGAGGTACATCATGTCTGATTCTGTTTGTAGTCAGTGGCATATGGTTTGTTCTTCTCCCTTCTTTGAGGAAAAAGAAACCCTCTTTATGGACCTAGGTTAGAAAAGGGAATATAATTTGTTTTCTCTGATGTCCAGTGTGCCTTAATTATCAGATTCTGTCAGGTAGCAATCTTCAAATAATAAAAAGACTCCCAAACTGTTGCTCAATTAGAAAGGGAAGAGGGGCATCAGCTGCTCACCTTTGGTACCAGGTTTTGTCTGAACAGTATATAGAGAGACCAAAGCTTGGTTAACAGGTTTGAAGGAATCCAGAGAGGGACTGAAGGTTTTATAAGAAGAGCCTCCTTTACCACAAGTCTGTCCAAACATCTGGCAGAAAGAGATGGAGAGAGCATTAAACAAATATATATACACATATCATACCTCCTTTGGACACAATTACATTATTCTTTATGAACCTACTTTATTTTTCTGTTGTAAGAGGTCGCTTTGGTCTGTGTGGAATATAGGGCGTTTCCAGATTACTTCCAAAAGGAAACTCCCCTTTGTCCTATGTGATTGCAAAGGAGCACAGGGCTTACTGAAATTCATATTCAAATTCAACATTATTTGTAAAAACCAGTTTTCCAAAACACAAACAACCCACCACTTCTCTTCCAGAAATCTTAAGATTTAACTAATTTGTAGAAATTTATTTCCCTGCTGGAATTTCCTTTCAAGAACTATTTGTGTTTGTTTGAAGCTAATTGACAACCTAATCAAGTTTCCAACCGGAGGTTCTGACTGTGGAAATGAACTTTCACTGGGAAGCACCACATCTGCTCCCTAGAACAAACCAAGCAGGAGATAAAAAAAGCATAGAAAGTCATGGATTTTGTTATTGCTGTAACTGGAACAAGCCTTATGATCCATTGGTTGGGGGAATAACCCAATAACATCAGGAATGAATCAGCTACATTACAGAAAACAAATAATCTGTCTGAAAGATCCCATTGTTGCCCATTCTTTTCTGGAAGTGAGCAGCTGCTGTAGTACACTTGAATAGTGAAACAGGAGCGGTACGCTAGATGGTCTTTTAGATTTCCATAGGTATGACATCATACTGGTTACCTGGAAACAAGGTTGCTTTGAATAATCTATAAGCATTATGTGTTCCTGAGAGGAAGCACATGGATTTTTTTGTGTAATCTTTCTCTTCAAAAGCCTTCTGATGTCTTCAGATTGCAGTGAACACCCAAAAGCAAAACTAGTCATTTTAAAAAAGAATTCTAGGAATCTGTATTTACAAGGTAAGTCATGCCTATCACTAAGTCTGTGCACATTGGGAATGGAAAATGTATTTTGACTCAAATTAAAGAGTTAAGATTAAATAAATTACAAAGTTGTATGTCCTGGCCATTACATCCTTCCTTTTTATATAACCACTACATTCTTCACACCCGAGGTAGTAATACTATTGTGATTGCCAGGACAGAGAGAGACTTCTACTGCCACTTCTGTTGTCTTGGTTGGTCTGCTGAAACCAGTGGTTTCTGCCCTATGAAGCTTCGTGCAGCTGGGTTACTCATGGTTTGCATTTCCAACCATTAGAGTGTACTCAATGGTCCCTTTATGGTCCCAGTATTTTTCATTATAGACATGCTTGACTTTAAATATGGCACAAATTTATGTATAATTCCCCAGATAGGATTATCAGGTTTAAGGCCATAGCCTGAATTACAGAGAATTGCTAGTATCTCCAGGACTTCAAGCAGAAAAACATATCTCAGGATTAGTGGCAATGAAGGAGGAGAAAGGTGGTATTGAAGCCTGAACATCCATTCCCACTCATTTCCAGTTGGTGCCAGGGCTCAGTGGCTCAGTACAAAGTACGTGTGTTACAGCTGCATGTTTTCAGTGCACCAATAATACAGGAACAAGGGGAGAGTGCATGGACTTCGATGCATTGCTACAGCTGGAACAAAGCAGGAATGGCACGCCAGCATCATGACCCAGGATGATTCCATGTCTCTCACCCCTTGTTTGCCTCATCCCATGATGTCAAATTACCTGTCTGTCTGGTTTCAGGATTTTCAGCCATGGCAATGTTGCTGACCTAGCAACCCGAACCTCAGTCTGGCATGAAATTATGAGGAGTGAAGGATATTTTCTGGCCTCCAAACAGATGTGAGGTTTTCTGGCTCCAAAATACAGGCTGACTGGATCCCAACTGTGTGATCCAAGGCTTTATATATACTTCAGCTCCTCCTGTTGTTTCTTATAAGATGGAAAACTCATTTCCCACAAGATTTCTTCTTTTTTTGTTCTTGTTTTACCCAGGAACCTGGGTCATAAGATTTTCTTCTCTCAGCACCATGCAAATAGCACAAGATCACCCCGTAAGTTCCAGAGCTATGTAAGAATTAGAACCTGAGTCTCCCAAGTTCCATACCTTCAAGTGTTTAAATAAATTGCCTGCACCAAGCATTCCTTGGCAGCCTGAATTATGCATTGCCATTCATAGATGTTTGTGCATACCTTTCATTCCAAAACAGATTGACTAGTTAGCTCATAGTGTAATCTGAGGACCCAATATGAGTCATTTAGGCAAAAAGTAATACCTCATGAAAGTGAAAAATACGCTAGTGGAAAAATAGGATAGAAAGAATACAAACAATCTAAAATAATAATAATAATAATGTGCTGTCAAGTCAATTCTTATTCATGACAAACCTTTTCAAGGTTTTGCATGTAGAGAACACTCAGAAGTGGCTTACCACTACCTTCTTCTGGGGATATCTTAGGACTGTGGAGCTTCCCAAAGGCCACATAGGTTGGCTCTTCTCCTTGGAGTAGGGAATCAAACTCCCAACCTCTGTCTCAGCAGCCAGATACTTAAACCACTGAGCAGTCCAACTACTGATATGGAGGGCTCTCAAATGCAGTAAGGCTAGCCTGCTGAATTTTTAAGTAAAGTAATACATACTACCGTTTGTTGAGGGAGGACCATTAAGTCCAGATCTAAATTGATCTAACAGTACCAGTGGATGATCTTAATTAGAGATGAGGGCTTCGTATTTGTATATGAAGACAAAGCCCTCTGGCCCAGGTGGCCAGCCTAATTACCTCCCACGCCCAACCCGGCTGGACCACTTACTGCACTGCACGCATGGCTGGGATAATTTTCTGTGCCCCAATCATGGCGGTAGCTCAGTTGCTGCAGCCCTGCCTCCCTGCTCATCCAACTGCTCCGCAGCTCAGGAGGGAGACTTGTCCCCCTGCCCCCTTGCCGGAGTGGCTGGGCGAGCAGAGAGGCAGGGCTGTGGCAGCTGAGCTACTGCTGTGATTGGGGTGAAAAAGATTATGCCGGCCACATGCACAGCACAGTAAGTGGTCTGCACAGTGGGAACTGGGGGTGGGACATAATCAAACAAGCCACCTGTGCTTGTGGGGCTCTGTATTTGTATACGAATATGAAGCTCCCATCTCTAATCCTAATCAATCTCCTAAATTTATTGTGAGGGTAAAATGGAATGATTTTAGACCACATTCCTTGGAAAACAGATAGGGTACAAATGGGTTCCATACGATTATAGTAAAATTTTGGACACATTGCTTTCAGAGCATCTGCGGACACTTGACAGTACAACCAGTTCAATTGGGATATCTGTGAAGCAACACACAAACTAGAAGTCCAGCACTGTAACCTTTAGTAAAGGTTTTTAATGACCTTCTGTAGTGTGACACTTTTTCCTGCTGTGGGGTAGAAACTTCTGTTTCTTCAAGGATGCATGAGAGGGGTAGGGAACCTGCAGCCCTCTAGATGCTAATGGTTAGGACTATTGACAGTTGAAGTTCAACCCCTGAGAGGCCACAGATTCCCCAGCCTGGTTGAGAGAAGAACAAGAAAAGATGGCAGGCTAGTTCACTCGAGCAAAACAAGTAGCAGAACAAAACAAGAGCTCTAATTAACCCATCTGTGCTGTGTGGTCAACAACACTAGGGACCCTATGGATCACTGAATCCAGCTTCTGGGCTATCCAGCCACAACCATTGAGCTATGCAGCCACAAACAATATATCCAAAAAACAAGAATGTTTGATATTATGATTAGACCACTACATTCAAATGCAAACATGGGCTCGTGTCTTTTTTTTAAAAAAAAAATATTAGTGGAATAGTATTGTTCTGAATTTTGTACAAGGATTACATGGATTTTTCCCCCTTTTTTGCTGGAATATAGTTGAATAAAAAATCAGTGCATGAATTGTGATAAAATCAAACAGAGCCTTCACATCTGATTTCATTTTCTGAAACATTTTACTGCTTGTACTTCTATAGCTCAGTGGTGTAAATAGGTTGGAGGTTCAATTTCCCACTGTGCCTCCTGCAAGCTGCACAGTCCCAGGATTGCCCTCAGAAGAAGGGAATAGCAAACCACTTTTGAGTACTGTATTCTACCTAGGAAACCCTGAAAAGTGTTGCCATATGTCAGAACTGACTTGGCGACACATGATAAAAATAAATTTAAAAGATAGGCATCTCCTTTATTCCACTTCGATTTGAAGAGAGAGTTCAGCAAAGTATAAATAATTCATTATACTTTTAAAGTTAAAATGTTATTTCTATTTTTAAAATAAATGTCTGTTTTTATTTTGTGATGACTAATAGTATATTCAAGAGGAACCATAAGAAATGGCTGCTGAAGAAAATGCAGGAGCATATGAGGAATTTGATGAGGCAGCTGAGGGAGAACCATCCCCAGATGAGGCGCTTCTTAGTAAGGAGACAGGAGGGACTGCAACTTCCCAAGGTGCTAAAAGGTATAAGTTTTCTTCTTCGTATATAATCCCCCATACAGTGTACATATCATTTCATATACAAAATATGTTATTACTACTATAAGATTACATGACATGGAAAAGCAATGCAGTTGTTTAAAGCAGTTGAAAGACATAAAGAACATCTTGGATTGGACCCAGACTTGGAAAATCAGGCAAGTAAAGAATAAGAGAGACCAAATTGCTAACATGCGCTGGCTTATGGAGAAAGCTAGAGAGTTCCAGAAAAAACATCTACTTCTGCTTCATTGACTACGCAAAAGCCTTTGACTGTGTGGACCACAGCAAACTATGGCAAGTTCTTAAAGAAATGGGAGCGCCTGACCACCTTATCTACTGAGAAATATCTATGTGGGACAGGAAGCAACAGTTAGAACTGGGTGTGGTTCAAAATTGGGAAAGGAGTATGACAAGGCTGCATATTGTTTCCTTGCTTATATGTAGAATACATCATGCGAAAGGCAGGACTGGATGAATCCCAAGCCAAAATTAAGATTGCCAGAAGAAATATCAACAACCTCAGATATGCAAATGATTCTACTCTGATGGCAGAAAGTGGAATCAAAGAACCTCTTAATGAGGGTGAAAGAGGAGAGTGCAAAAAATGGTCTGAAGCTCAACATAAAAAAAAACTAAGATCATGGCCACTGGCCCCATCACATCCTGGCAAAAAGAAGGGGAGGATATGGAGGCAGTGACAGATTTGACTTTCTTGGGCTCCATGATCACTGCAGATGGTGACAGCAGCCCCGAAATTAATAGACGCCTGCTTCTTGGGAGGGAAGTGATGACAAACCTAGACAGCATCTTAAAAAGCAGAGACATCACCTTGCCGACAAAGGTCCACATAGTGAAAGCTATGGTTTTGCCAGTAGCAATGTATGGGAGTGAGACCTGGACCATAAAGGCTAACCACCGAAGAATTGATGCTTTTGAATTGTGGTGCTGGAGGATATTCTTGAGAGTCTCCTGGACTGCAAAGATAACAAACCTATCCATTTTGAAGGAAATCAACCCTGAGTGCTCACTGAAAGGCCAGATCCTGAAGCTGAGGCTCCAATACTTTGGCCATCTCATGAGAGAAGACTCCCTGGAAAAGACCCTGATGTTGGGAAAGTGTGAAGGCAGGAGGAGAAGGGGACGAGAGACAACGAGATGGTTGGACAGTGTCATTGAAGCGACCAACATGAATTTGACCCAACTCCAGGAGGCAGTGGAAGACAGGAGGGCCTGGCGTGTTCTAGTCCATGGGTCACAAAGAGTTGGACACGACTAAACAACTACACAACAAATTTTATATATTTAAGTGGGTTTGCTCCAACTATGACAAAAAACAAATCCGGGCTCTAGAAAATCCTGGTCTGGCAAGATAGAGGAAAAGACTTCACTCCATTCTGCAGTTTCCACATGCATTCATTATTTGATTTGAAGAGGGGATATTGCTGCTTATACGGCAACTCCCCATTCAAGGAGAAACCATAGAATATTGGAGTTGGAGTTCTTGCTCATGTGACGATTTTCCATGTGAGCAAAAATGTTCTCTTCTTCAATTTATCAGTGTGATGGAACTTTTGGTCAATGTCTGTTTTTCAAAACAGACGTTTTGGTCAATGTCTGTTTTAAACTTGAAACTTTGTTACTACCCAGGCTTCACTTCTGTACAAGCAGTTTTACAATGTTATTGTGTACCATCATATTGATTCTGATGATGGCAATCCCCCTCAGGATTCTCTGCATATAAAGTATTTAGAAGTGGTTTTCTGGTCCCTCCTTCTGGTGGTGCTCTGGGATAATGCAGCTTGCATTGTACAGGCTGCTCCGCTTTCAAGAGGCACAGTGGGGAATCAAACTCTTGGCCCCTGGCTCCATTTTTTATATATAACCAAAAGGAGAAATGATACGTAAACTATGGAGGGTTTTTTGTAACAACTCTTGTGCCACAATGGAGACTAAGAGAAAGATAGTTCGAAAAGTAAGTTTTCCAGCCTCTGACCTGTGTGCATTTATTCAGAAGTAAGATGCACTGTGCTGAGAGGACAATGCTCCCTGATGAATGTACATAAGATTTCAGCCAAGATTTTTGAAACAAATAATGATGCATATTTGTTGCATATTCAAGTTTCCTTTCTTCCATATTTAAAAGGTCTGGGAGAGTTGAGAAGTAGTTCTGGTATAGATAACAGCCTCAAACTCTCTGAGTCTGAGAGGACTGCAGGTGCAGAATGCAACTCAGGTGCCAGGAGATTATGCTCTTCTTTTTTAGGAAGGACGGAAATAGGTGGACCAATACACCTGGCACTACTTCTACACAAAGAGTAAACATGGTTCAACTTAGGAAGTGTGAACAAACTCAGGCTTGTATACACCTCCCTTCCCCTCCTCATATATAAAAAAGCCAAGCACTTCTGTTTCTGTTTAGTGGCAAATCACACTATACTATTTTGCTCACATTAAGGAAACTATAGCTTACCCACAAACCAGGATCACAAGCAATGGTTTGATACTGTTCGTAATCCTACTTTGCCTACAAATCAGAACTGCAAATAGGATAACACCATGATTTTCAGTCCTCATCTGTGGACAACCTATGATTTGTGCAATCCATTGTTTTCTACTAAAGCAGATATAAAACAGTCTGATCTATACCACCTAAACAAGACTAGCTAAACCAGGGACCACAGAGCATGGATTCACACTCTCATAGATGGAAGAAATTTTACAGCTGCTCCAAGAAGGAGATGTGTGGGATGGTTGGTAGTATTTTTATTGGGATGGACAAGGCAGCAATATACCATTCGGGTATGCTGGAGGAAGAGGCATGGTGCTTTTATTGAGGATGTGATCAGAGACATGCTAAAATTCATCACCCCTTACTCATTATTCTTTCCTGCTAACCATGTAACACAGTTTGAAATGCATCACAAAGCATGAGACTTTGGGTAGGGAGATGAAGGACTCTGGTATCTTCTTTCCTCCTTCCTGTTGAAGGTTGTGGCCTAGAAAGGCAAAGAATAATATAGGAAGTAAATGACAGGGTACATAACTGGTGTCATCAAGAAATGTTTGGATCACCAGACTGTGGTCTCAGTGCTTCTATTATAAGGGACTTTCATGGCGATGAGCTCTACTCACTCATTCTGGGAATAGAGATGATGCCTCCTTGTGATGGGGAGCTGTTCTGTGGAGGAACTTCCATGAGCATTGACTGCTTACCTCCAGACAATTCCCCAAAATGCGACGGTTGGGAGTAGGTATGCTAGATATAGAGTGTGAACTCAGTGTGATCCCATTCCACTTACAATGAATGAGCCATGTATTTTGCTAATATATGACTAGGGCTTGGTCCCCACATGAAAAATGCTACACAAATACAAAAAAAATATGTATTTTTGTTCTTTTGGTTTTCTTCTCTTTGTACGCTGGCTACTGCTAGGGTAAACTAAGATGAATCTGTATCTTACCATTCTGAATATTTGCTTGTTTGTTTGTTTATTTATTGGATTTTTACCCCACCCCTCTAGACCATGTCTACTGTTGCTGTTTCATTCATTTTATAACGGATATAATAATCATGGGTTGTCCAGTCAGTTCCTGACTTATGGTGACCCCTTTCCAGAGTTTTCTACTGTAGGTAATGAGCACTCAGAAGTGGTTTACTATTCTCTTCTTCTGGGAGTGCCTTGTTACTGTGCAGCTTGCCCAAGGCCACACAAGCTGGCTTTTTCCCCTCCCAGCCTCTCTGTCTCTGCAACTAAGTACCTAACTCACTAAACTACCCAGCCAGAACAATGAATAAAAAGGTAAAGCAAATTCAAATCTCTGTTTCATATTCTGTATCACAACTAGTTCCGTGTCTTAAACAATAAAAAAGCATCTGAGAATGAGACTAGAGTGCTTCATTATATAAACACATTTGTCCTTAATGGAATAGAAAAAGGTCTAGAGTGTAAAATCTTGGAGGAAAGTCATGCTTCATACAAGTCAATAGATTCTGAATGCACCCTTAATTCTTTTACCATAAATATATTAAGATCCCACAACATTGTGCAAAATGCTAGCCAAGGCTGCCTGTATGGGTCAGTAACATTACCAAGCACTCTAAGCTTGATACACTACAATTACAAGAGGTTAAACTGTTTCTCTTATACTTGGATTGAACAAGACTTTCCCAAGATTTTTCATCTCCATACGTGTGTTAATCTGGCAAGTGACCAATAGCCACTTGACATGTACCATATTTTTCTGTTTATAAGAGCCCACCCCCTTTCTAACCCCCAAATTAAGAAAACTTAGCTTTGAGGATTCAGCCTCTGGAATCAGAACAGTGGACATTTTGAGTCCCTGTTGAATCTGAGCACTGCCTATAGGCTCCACCTCCAAGGAGGTATGCTCCAGTTGGTTTGTTCAGCTGAGGTCAGTTCCATAAGGTTCCTGATTGGAGGATGCTAAGTCTCCTGACTGTAGAAAACTAAGCCTTGTGACTGAAGGAAGCCTGTTTACAGAGGCAAGGTATGTGCCATTTTGTTCTGTCCTCAGCTAGCTCAGCTTATTTCCATGTAAAAGTCGCCCCTCAATTTTTAGTGTAATGATTTTAGGAAAAAGTAGTGTCTTTACACGGAAAAATTCAGTAACTCTTTCCTGAGCTAAATAGCCTTTGATGAATGAACAGTTCAATTGAAAATACAATGGACTGAAGTTTGAGGGCAGAACTAAATGGCGTGATCCTAGCCATTTCCTTTTTTCAAATTAATCTACATGATCAAATAAATGTGGAAACGGGCAATAGGTGGATCAAGTTTAAGACTCTAGAAAAAGGGTGGTTCAAAAGTGCAGTGAATATGAAATATGGCAAGCAGGGTGTTAGGAAGAAGTAATAATCTAATAATGTCAAAATTATGTTCCTATAATTCAGGTTATTATAGAGTATTAATAGACCCTAGCTTTCTTTTCATCTCTATGTCAGAAACAGTCTAGTTGTAGAATACTATATTTGCATATTTTTGCTGCAGCCTTTTGTTTTTACTTATTTGCTACATGAATTCAAGTAGACATGTCCTTTAAAATGTTCTCAACTTCAAATCTTTTTGTTTCTTTATTATATCAGCCCACAACCAGCAAATTCAATCGACTGCTGCTGTCTTCTTTGGAGTGTCATCTGGTTGGCTGTCTTGGTTGCTTTTGCTTGGCCCTTAAGTGTGCTTATGTCAGCCCTTTATGGATTTGTGGCACCCCTGATTACTCTCATAGGCCTTGATGATATGACTGATTCTATGCTGCAAGCAGTACATGTGGGAAGAGAATGTGCTCGGAACGTCAGATCGGGCAGGCCCATTGGTTGAAGAAAAGATCTCTCAGCAGTTAGCATTCTATTCTTTCTCAAGTCTTCTGCCTTTACATGCATCCTGCTCTGTATTTCTGCCTTTCACCCTTTTGCATTAAAAAGTACTTGTTTCAATATATAAGTGGCTTCAGGAGGTGTTTAACTGACCTATCATTTTGGCCTTTAGTCCATGAGTGTATAAACTGTATTTATACTATAAAAAACCAGTAAAACTGATTCCTAGGAGCTTTCAGAAAGATTTTCGGAAGCACTCATAGGGGAAAAAAATTATTGGCTGCTACTGTTGCAGTTAACCAATTTTATACTGGTCTTATGGGGACAGGATCACCTGAAGGAAGGACTGATAAATCACAGTGCAACTTGTTATTTCCATGGAGTCAGTAATTCAAAACACATACCGGTAACTTTTGATAATTTTCCTCTTGATACAATAACAATCCCTGCAAGTATTCAAAGCTGATACGTATATAAGCTGGGTACAGATGTTTTCTTTAGAAAAATCTTTGAGATAAGGCTCTTATCTCAAATATACAAATCCGTCCCACTCCTTGAGAAATGACACAACATTGTTTGTTCGTTCAATTTGTATACAACCCATATGATCTATGGTCACTCTGGGCAGTTCACAGCAAGTAAATTCAATTCAATAGATTGCCAAAGGAGAGATAATTCCTTCCGGTATGATAGAACAGTGCTTGACTATGAAAACCTGAAAAGAAAGCTACTATATATTGCTTGGTTCCCTTTTAATCATGTAGAAAAAGGCTAACTGTGCTCCTCCATTATCCAGACTTTGAACTTTCGTGAGTAGGGAAATATATAATCTATTTGCATGTTATACACACACAGGGCTTCTGTATATGAGAAGTTACACTGATTGAGCTAAGTCCCCTCCTTGCTTAGCGTCACTCTATGTAGTTCATGAGTCTTGAGTGTAAAAAGCCTTCCGAAGCATTTTCAATGCACAGACATCAGGGGAACATGGAGATGTGGTGTGATGGCAGGTATAGAGCTAATCCACTTTTGTTTTGATTAATGGATGGTATCATGAGAATATCCTGTGGAATTTTTGACTTGCAAAGTATATTGGAGATACTCAAATATTATTTCAGCTATCAGTCTTGCAACAACACTGTAGTTACTGTAGCATAATGGTCATCAAGCAGAAAGAACTGTGTTCACCAGCCTGTGTCTCTAGGAGGAAGGTTGTGTAGCATTATTATTGTTTTAGTGCATATAAAGAATAAGAAAACTCTAATCAATGGAAGACAACTTTTAATATCCATCAATACTTATTGTGGACTATGAAAAGATTCTAGCATTTGATCATTTCTATTTGAAAAGCAGATTATATGTCAAACACTGAATGTTTGGAGGGGTCAGGGATGTGTGCTATGTAATGTGTTTTAAATGCCTCTGACTGATTTTTTTTTTGTTTCTTTATTATATCAGCCCACAAACACAAAGTGCATTGAGCTGTGGTTGCCTTCTGTGGAGTTTCATCTGGTTGACTATCTTAATTGCTTTTGCTTGGCCCTTCAGTATGGCTATGGCAGCCCTCTATGGATTTGTGTCGCCCATGATTTCTCTAGTAGGACTTGAAGATATGAGTGATTCTATGCTGCAGGCAGTGCATGTGGGAAGAGAGTGTGCTCGGAACGCCAGAACAGGCAGACCCCTGATTTGAAGAAAAATATCTCACATTTAGCATTCCATTACTACAGAAGTCTCCTTCCTTTACATGTATGTATTGTTAATTATCATCTGTATCTCATCTTTTCACTATATGCATTAAAAACACATTTATTTCAATATAGAAATAGCTAGTTTCATTATGTTTTTATATGACTTACCATTTTAGCTTTCTGTGTACTGTATTATACTTTAAATAAGCACTATTTAAATCCCAGAAAGATTCTTGCAAGCACACTTATCAGCTGGGATGATTCAGTTAACCATTTTACCTTATAGTAGAAGGGAAAGCAAGCTACAAAAACCAGCTTCACAAAATTATCAAAGTTGGCAAATGTGAGAATATTATGGAATTATATTTTGGACAGAAAGTTATGCTAGGAGATGGAATATGTTCCTTTCTTTTCCAGGGTGGGCATTTGTGAGAAGAGGTTCCCTGTGTTCCAGTCTATATGTGATTATTCTATGAGAACATATTGCCAGTTTCCATGAGGTACACCAATTGTTAGGAGGTACAAAAGCACAAATATTCCTAAAATTCTCAATGTTCTCTTTTAATTGTGTACAAAAATAAGCTTTTTTGAACCTGCTGCAATTCTTTACCACACTGAAAAGCCTGAACTAATACCCCTGAAGGCAGGGATGGCAACCAAAGACAGGAAAATGGACAATAGATAATTAAAATTTAAAAAAAACAGTGTCTGTTCTGTTCAGATCAAGCTTCTGTTTGCTGGCCCTCATCCATCACAATATTGACTGGAAGACCTCCACAGTTTGGATCGTCAACGACAAATCTGATTGGAGGACAGTGACACTCAGGTTTTTCCCTGGATGGAGAACCTGCATGGCACTATTGGACTCACTGCAGCCACCGCCAAGTATTAGCTACCAATGCTTTCTTCCCCCAGAACTTGGAAGTTTGGTGCAAGGACAAAGTTAAACTCTGATCCCCATGACATGGGCTCCTAATTATGACCTTCCATAGCTGCTGTTTGGGGTGGCAAGGTTAAATTTTAACATCTGCTGTGGTTGCTGATGATGCCTGTAGTGCCACAGCTAGTCTTGGCCTCTGTGTATTTCTGTATTCTTTTCTAAAATATATAGTGATCAGAACTTCCTGTCAAATTAGCATCCATTTGCATATCATTTGAAGACAGAATATTGTGGAGATGACTTGTTCCTTTTGTACTAGCCACAGTGTTCCTCATCTGTGTTAAGTGTTAGATGTTGTGTGCCGTCAAGTCATATCTGACATATAATGATCCTAACAGGGTTTTTAAGGTAAGAGAACTGTTTAAGTAGTGGTTTTACTAGTGCCACCGCCTAGTGAGTTTCCATGGCTGAGCGGGATTCAGTCCCAATCATCTGATTCCTAGTATGTCACTCTATCCATTACATCACACTGGGTAACTCTGCTTCATCTGTATTCAAGTGCAAATGCCCGTAAGTGTCCCTCAGAGACAAACCCTTAATGCCTCCTTGTATTCTTTAATACAAGCATGTCAAAGCAGTTGGTTTGAATATGTATGTCATCAGCTTTTCTGTGCCTGCCATGGAACAGAAGATTTGCTTCTAGTAGCACCTGAGGCCCTATGGCTCCATAAATAAAATAGCTGTCTTTGCAAATATCTGTCACTTTGGAACTCATAAGAAGAACTGAAGCTGCACTTTAGCCGTACATTTTAGATTTGCATGCCTACCAACTTTCTTGGGGGGAGGGAGTGGGTACGGGTATGTTCCCGATTATTTCAATCTTTAACAAATCATAATTGACAAATTAATCCTGTGTATTTTTTGTAGTGAATTGGCAAGAGCGTATAAAGTTGATTTCTAAATAAAAAGGCTCAAAGCCACTGATTCCTCCACTGCCATTTTGCTGCAACCTATTATATAACATTTGGAGGAACTTGTTGTTTTCTTATTCCCTAAAAACTGTAATCTCACTTTCTGGCAGAAAGAAGTAAGATTTTGCCCATGAGAATAGATTCCCTCACAAAAAAATAAAACAAAAAACAGATACTGTTCTTATTTTACACAGGATGCGACATATCCTCTTCATCTGATGATTTACAATGCAATTTTCAGTTACAAGTTGAATGTAATAAATTGCTGGTTTGCTTTCTTCACTTTAAGTGAAATAAATTAATATTTCCCAGACCAAATTTAACTTGGAAATTAAATTAAACTGGAAAACAATCTAGGTATTAAATCATGGAGAGTAGGAACTCTGCACTGTGTTTTCTTCATATAGCTTTTGATTGGTTGAGAGAGCTTGGACAAGTTACATTAAACAGGATGAGTTCAATGCATCTTGGCCAGTCATTGAGATATATAATACTCAAAGATATGCAGTCACACTATTTGATTTCTATACGGAAAATGTATTACCTCTGTTTAGGCATTCATTAAAAATAATCTCAACATGTGAGGAAAGAGCGAAACAGTTGCTTCTACCTGTGGAACCTTTCCATGTGACTGGGAATCCTGAGGCTTTATCTATAGCAGAGGCTTTCCCCTTCTCCATTCTCCATCAAAGGAGAACACCAGGGATAGGGGTCAGGCAACAGCTATCTCTCCAATCATAATACTGAACAGAATTACATCCAATCTGTATTTCTTTTTTGCCAATGGAAATGTTGCCATTTTGATTATACTTCTACAGTATTTTAATTGTTTTTTTAAGTATGTAGGAATTTGGCACCAATTCCCCCTTTCCAAGTTCTATTATGTTGCAGGTACGCACAAGATTTGTGTCTGAAATGTTGATAAGAAAGAACAGGCCACAAATGTGTTGGGACATAATATGCCTTTAATTAGAAGCTGTTATCAAATTCTCCCTCCTCTTTTCTGAGGCTTGCTTTCCTAATGTCTGGCGGAGACATGCACACGTCTGGATAATTTACAGGCTGACTTCCCAAAGGGCTCTGCTCTCTGCCATATAATGAAGTTCCTCCAGGATACTCACTGACAATCTGGGCCATTGCATACCAAGCCAAACCCACTCAGCAACTGCCTCTCTTGACTTTCTATTTTTAACTTAAGAAGAACAAAAAATCCTTAAATTGTTGGGATGGATCTCGGGGCTTCCATCACAAGAACAAATTTTGAACCTATTTGGAACAACAATTGAGCAGGAACACAACTGCTACATTTAATTAATGTGGTCTTTTTTGTTTTTGGTTTGTTTTTCGTGTCCTCTGTTTAATCTTCCTTGTTAGGTAGCTGAATGTGCATAAAAACTGGGGGCTTAAGAAGACATGTGCTAATGTAATCCAACGAACTCTTTCCCCACCCTGCCTGCCTGCCAAAAATGCAGGAGGGAAGAATTCCCCTCCCCCTTGTTCATCAAAGTTTAAAGAGACTTCAAGTGTGCAATGCCTCCGAAACATATGCTGCTTTCTCTCTTTGTTAAGTTCATTTTTGTGACAGCCTCCGTAATCAACCTGTTCACCTGCTGTTACTGAATATGGGCTTGGATGGCGGAACAGAGAGGGAAAGAATTGTTTAATTCATTAACACAGAATAGATTAAAAACCATTAAAGAGATCCCCCCTATAAAATCAAAGAGGAACTCCCATCTTATAAAATTGTATTTACATGTTGTAAACGATAATGTAAAGCCCTGAATTCTAGCAATACATTTATTTATAGGGTGTGTATGATATTATCTTGCCTGTGCTCAGAGCATCTTATGGCAGTTTTATAAATGCTATTGTTCCCAAGGGGCTCACAGTCAAAACTGCTTATAATCCCTCTCAGCCCTTCTCATGAGCAGTTGAACGAGGGGAGAGTGGGGCCATGCTACTGGCCCCAACCGCAACCCTAGATGCCCCATTGGTCGAATCACCATGTGCATGATGAAGATCTGGGAAAGAACATCTACACACATGTCCTCTTCCAAACTTTGGCTCTGTGCCTGAAGGGCAGGGGGGCAGAAATGTACAACAAAGGCAGAGATGGGGAGAAACACTGCCTTTTTCGACTATCACTCCCAGAATTCCATGCTCAGGACTGCAATTGATATCCTGTCTGTGGGACAGTGGACACTGCAGCCCAAGAAATTACACTGCCCACTTTGAGGCAGAGCCATCAGGACAGTCTACTGGTTACTTCCCCATGAAGACACAGAGAAAGTTGAAGAGGTTTATTACCTCTGGTATTTACTGCTTAGTTCAAAGGTCTTCTTCGTAAAGGACCAAAAAAATATTTTTTAACATGGAGCTTGATTCTAGCAAAACAACTTTTTCCAACTAATATTAGCAATTCATGTTTTATTACATGTGCTCATGCATTAGATGTCACAAACATGAGTCCTGTTCCTAGGTAGCTCTCAAACATGTGCACAGGAGCAGCTATAACAGCCATTGCATGGTGTCACAAACATCCCTTCATTGGGTGGGTCATTCCTATAATGACAGGAATGCCTCCATCACTATATGTAATATAATGCTGTTGCACAGATATGTGATAGAAATGGAGCATGGATCCAAGTAGAAACAAATCATTACCTGTGCATTTCAGCGACCCGAGTCATTGAAATCAAGACAAACAGATATTGTGATAACAACATGTTAGAATGGGGCTTCACCAAGGTAGTAAGGGGGTCCATTTGTTGTAGCTTTCCTGCTACACTGCACATCCTCTTCCTTTCTAGCTACTTGCAATCTAATTGAGAGTTAGGGTTTTTTCCGCAGATAATTTATGTTAGCTGTCCAGAAATACTTTCGTATCAAAATATCACCTATACTGGGAAAAGATTTGCTAAATCAGAGTAATAGTTAATGGGCTAAAGGCAAAAGATGTAACATTACAGAAATTCTATCAATTCTCACCATAAACACTTATGCAGACAAAGCCTTATCCATTTGGGTGGCATCACCTTCCACAAGAAACATTAAGAACTGAATATTAAAGATTTACAGTGTGAATGTGTACTGTAAATTTTACAAGGTGGGGTGAGGGAGATACAGTACAAGGATATGTGATTTCTTAGTTTGTGACTTCCACTGAAGTCATCTAAGCTGCTGTTGCTGAAAGAGGATAAGATTTTTTTTTTGTATTTTTCAGTCTAAATTTGTTTGTTTATTATATACCCCACCT